AAAAACAAGAATAAGAACACTTATAGTCAAAAGTATGGAGTTGAATTCAATCTTACGGAACAGCTCGTCTTCAACTCGTTTGCCAGCCGCTTGAAGTGTGTCGTATAGTGACAATGTAAGCTTGTCAGACTCAAGTTGCGTGGTGAACCATGCAAGTTGCTGGATTAGTGTGCCTTCGTAAGCTTGCACCGTGACCCACACGACCTCTCCCTTCAGCCTATCTGCTTGGCTGTCTCGTAAAGCAGGAGTTTGATGTTGAGATACATTATCTGTGAATGAAACAATGTCAGCTTGAGATAGGTGTTAAGAGAGAAGATGGAAAGATGTTCAAAGCCGTTCTGTCCGACTCACTAGATTGAGGTTGAGGCGTAGTCTTTGTGAGCGATGAACTTTCCTCGTCGGAATCTGAATGTTGAGAGCTCGAGCTGGAGCTAGCCAAGGATCGTCCGGACATCGAAAGGGGTATGAAAGGCAGAACCAAAAGGAATTGATACCAAAGGGTACCTCGAAAACTTGAGCCTGTCGTACCAGAGATAATGGTTAGCATCAAGCTGAGAAAGTCTCATGATCTGATTGAAGTTGGTTAGAGACTTACTTAGGTGTTTTCAGCAATTAGATAGAGACAAACTGGCCAATCAACGTTGTTCAATTTGGAAGCGTGGGAGTGGAAAGTGAAAGTGATCGACAGTAATCGCAATCCGGAGGGTCGAGGTATAGTTGAGTTGAGAGGCGTGAGAACGTGTATAATTGAGTTGGGAGGCGTGAGAGTGATCGACGTGATCGACGTGGTTCAATTCAAGTGTGTGAAGATGAGACACGTTTCAAGCAATGAGTATATATATGAGGGATCCCGGGGTCTTGGGTTCCTGCTGGCCCCGGGTATTCGAGGCCAGCAGGAGGCCTCCTGCATACCTTCATCACGTGATATCCGTGACCTGTGTATGTAGGATTACGTAGCATGTGTATGTGTAAGTCATCCTGGGGTATCAGGTTTCTGCAAAGCCCCGGGTATTCGAGGCCAGTCGAGGCCAGCAGGAGCCTCCTGCATACCTTCATCACGTGATCAAGGTTGATACATGTGTATGTAGGAACACATAGTATGTGTATGTTAATCATCCCGGGTTTCTAGTC